CACACACACACACACACACACACACACACACACAAACACACACACATACACACACACACACGTACACACACACACATTATGAATGCTAATGTTACGTTAAGGTTCTGTCCTTACTCAGACACACAAAAACCCCAGCAGACAAATAAACTTCACGACAGGAGAAAAAACGTCTATATTACGAAAGTTTAAATACTGTCAATCTTGACTGCACCCCTCCCCCTCTCCAAAACAAAAACCCCTACGAAAAACAACAACAAAAACACCCCGAAAAAAAAAGAATTTAAAAAAACCACATGCATATACCGTCTGTGTTGTTGAAATACTCCGTTACATTTTAACTCATTCCGTACTGACGAGACAATTTATTACAATACCTTTGCGAACTATCAAATTACCATAAGCAACATTTTCATCCACCACATAATTTATCCCCCCCCCCCCCAAAAAAAAACAAAGAAGAAGAAGAACAAGAAAACAAAACAACAACAACCCCCCCCCCCCAAGATTTATCCAAATCCTGACGAATTATTTCACTTTTCGTTTCAAAGTCGATATGCCGGACTTGGAAATTTAAGACATTTGAAGCTGTACTTTTTCAGTTTCTTACGGTAGTCTTTGGCAAATAAAAACATTATCTTTAAAAGTATTTTCCCACGTTTTTCAGAGCATATAATCCACTCCTCATACATACCAATGTGGGTGGTTGGCAGGTACTCTGGTGTGTCTTGCTCCTTCTTTCCTATCAAACATACCTTGTGCTTATCTTTTCTCCTTTTCTTTGTATGTTGCTCTCTTGTAAGACCTCTCTAATCGTCGGCACTTCTATGATCTATTTGTGATGCTAATGTTGTAAAACTCTTACTAAAAATAAAAAGTGGCAAAATAAGAGCAGAAACGAACGTTTTAACGAAATATTTTAGGAAGCTGAAATAACTAGATAACACTCCATCAGATAAGTTTGGTGAATAAAACCAACAATGTCACCAGCGTAGTGTGAGACTTGCTTACTTGAAACTGCAGAGAAATGTAAGACTAACAACATTTGAACAATAAATTACTAATCAATTGTTGCAACCATTTTCAGATGGAACCATTGTTACACCTGGAACTATAATTTACTGATAAGCGCTACAAAAATAAAGTAGCTTTTCAGGGGAACGGGGGTGGG